GTTGAGTGCACCGCTGTTGAAACTAGCAAACGTGCAGAAGCCTTTCAGAGTTGCAACAGACGCAAGTGATTTTGCAATAGCAGGCGTCCTTCTCCAACAGGGGGAAAGCGATAGTGCTTGGCATCCTGTGGCATATGCCAGTCGTAAGCTGTCACAAGCGGAGCGAAATTACACTGCTGCAGAACGCGAAACCCTGGCGGTGGTGTTTGCACTGCGATCCTGGAGAATTTATCTATTCCAGCATTTTGAAGTGTTCAGTGACAGCATGGCCGTAGTCTACTTGAGCACAAAAGCCAATCTCACTAAGCGCGAAGCTAGATGGGTTGAATTTCTTGCAGACTATGACTTCACAGTTAATCACAAACCCGGCAAGGAAAATATGGCTGATGCGTTATCCCGCCGCCCTGATCTGCGCGGGTCAGCAATTGGCAATGTAGTTGAGGAAAAGGATTGCCCACCCATCCTACCAGCACCCCATTTGAATACGATTGAGTTTGCTTTGGAACTGAGTGATAGGGTTGCTGAGATGATTTCGGAAGCATATCACAATGACGAGCAGCTTTCCCCAATAATTCAGCGGCTGCGCGGCGATTCCTCTGATAATCTACACGAGCGGTACTATTGGGATGAAGAGTCCAGGTACCTATACCTCCGTGCAGCACCAAACAATCGCTTGTGTGTACCCAAGTGTGCAGTAAGGCTTCAGCTCCTGCAGGAGTACCACGACTGTGTTACGGCAGGCCATCAGGGACGGGATCGTACATATTTCCGGCTTCGTCAATTCTTCTACTGGCCCAAGATGGGCCTTGACGTGAAGAAATTTGTTAAGTCTTGCGGCATATGTCAGCGCACTAAGGGTGGGTTGCCTAGATCCGGTTTGCTGCAATCGCTCCCAGTACCAGACACCCCCTGGAAAGATATTTCCATGGACTTTATCGTTGGCTTACCCCAGACCCCTCAGGGCTTTGATGCAATTTATACATTTGTTGACCGGCTTACAAAATGTGTCCATTTAGTCCCCACGACTTCCAAAATTGACGCTAAGGGTTCTGCTGATTTGTATCTCCAGAATGTGTTTAGATTACACGGTTTGAGTTCCACTATTGTTTGTGATCGGGACCCAAGATTTACTTCTGAATTTTTCCGGGAATTGTTTCATCAATTAGGTACCACCTTGTCGTTTAGTACTGCCAATCACCCACAGACCGATGGACAGACTGAGAGAATGAATAGAGTAATTGAGGATGTGCTTAGAGCGTTTGTTAACCACAAACAAGATAATTGGGACAAGCTTCTGCCTCTTTGCGAATTTGCAATTAATAGTTCATATCAGTCTTCCACTTCTAGCACGCCGTTTTATCTAAATTATGGACTTAATCCCAAGTCCCCACCAGATTTCCTGGCACGGAGGGGAGGAGGGAGTGCCCCAGACTGGATCCAGGATCGGGCGGATGCCGTCAAGTTGGCAAAGGACGCCATGATTGCCGCTCAGGCTAGACAAGCTCAGTATGCAGACAGGGGAAGGGTGCCCAGCAACCTGAAGGTTGGCGACATGGTGCTGGTGTACAAGGATTTCCTAACAACCGCAGAAGCCCGGGATCAGCCTTCACAGAAGCTACGCCCTAAGTGGTTCGGGCCCTACCCAATCATCAAGAAGATCGGACCCAACGCCTATCAGCTGGATCTACCCAGCGCTATTCGGTGCCACCCTGTCTTCAATGTCACTGCTCTGCGCCGGTATGAGCAGAATACTATTCCCGGCAGGCGGCAGCCACCCCCGCCACCGTTCACTGACTTGCACGGTCAGACCAGATACATGGTGGAGAAGATTCTTGACGATCGCCAGCGAAGGCATCAGACTCAGTACCTTGTCAAGTGGCAAGGATACCCAGACGACGAAGCGACCTGGGAGCCAGAAGAGAACTTGCTGGACGAGGCCGGTAGGCCGATAGTTGCTCTGAGGCGTTACAGGGCGTCCAGGGCATGTTAGTGACACTATGGTTACAGCGAAATGTTACTCGCTCAAATTCAATTGCACGTGTACCTTGAGAATTCCCACTTGATCCTTGTGTTAAGCAATCCATTCCCCTCCTGTTTTAGATTTTCCCCATTTCCGTTATCTTCACTCGCCTGACTGTCCTTGGTTACCTTGCACGGTGCTTCAATTAGATGAGCGTTGTTGGGTTGACACGATTTCATTTTGATTATTCCCTTTCCACATATTCCTCGACTCCCTGGAGGCACATGTGCCTCGCTTAGGAGGGAGGGATGGTGTAACAGTTCCCTGTTAGCGCTAACCTTATCTGCCCTCTAGCTCTGTATCTTGCACCTTTCCCTATCCTGTCAGCACGCGCGTTATCACCTTAGGGCACGAAGTGCCCTATATCAGTTGTGTTGCCTTGAGCAAGCATTGTCTTTTCCAAGAATACCTTCAAACGGTTACAGGACGGATCATGTACAATGCTGTGGAAGGCATCCGAGATTTCTGTGATGTCGCACGTTGGCTGATGATGTTGACGAGAACGGCTAGTGACAGAGTTGATCACGGACCACATCATCCGCAGGTTGGAGGAGTGATCACGACACTGCTGTTGGAAATGCTGATTGCGTTTTCGCCGGTAAGCATTTGAGGCTTCTGCACGGGCTCGCTTGTACTCCTCATGTAGATGCACGTTAGTCTTATCTCGTAGCCACTTTCGGTGAAGTCTATTCTTGCGCATGTTCAGTTGGAATAGATCACGGTCGGACCATGGCGGGGGAGTCCTCCTGGTGGAGATTCTGACTTCACGCAGGGGAGCGTGTCTTTCGAGAACCGACATAAACTTGGCATGCCAGCCATTCCACATCTCGTCTACAGTTGCAGCAGGGGGAAAGGAGTGGAGGCTTCACGAGGCAATATCTTCACGAAATGTTGCAAGGTTAATGGCTCGGATCTTGCGGGTGAGGCGCACTGATTTCCGCTGCAGTGGGTGTTGCGAGGAGGGTAAAGACAGACTTGCATGCACAAGGAAGTGATCGCTGATCGTGCAGGGTACAACTTCACAATGACTTATAGTACCCACGGTGGAGAGCACTAAATCAAGCAGCGTTCCATCCGGACATCGGGGTGTGACTCGTGTGGCAGACTGGACGTAGTTGCGGAGCCCATACGATCCGATAAGGTCCCAGAAGCGCTGGTGAGGACGACTGGTCATGCATTGAGCCAGATTGATATTAAAGTCACCCACCAGTGTCATTGATGGCGTGATCGTGGCAGCATTGTGGAGGACTGTGTCCAGGTGGTCCCAGAAATCAGCAGTTGCATTTGGTGGGCGATAGAGGCAGCCAACGAGGTGCTGGTGTTGCCCTCCGCCAATAGCTATCCAGGTAGCCTCCAGGTGGCTATTGTGCAGATCAGAACGATAGGTAACTGGGAGTGATGTCTTGTAATAGAGGCATGTGCCCCCACCCTGGCGATCGGGCCGGTCACAGCGAACAACACTGTAGCCGGGAATACAAATTTCGCCATCCGAGATTGTACTATCCAGCCAGGTCTCAGCAACGCCAACGACGTCCCAGTTGTGCTGACTTATAGGTTTTCGCGTGCCAGCTGCCTTCAAAATTCGTATAATTATAGGCCCAGGGCTAAGAAACGAACCATTATTACTGATCTCTTTCCCCGGGAAAATGCATTATTTCGTATATTAGCCCATGGGCTTATATGCGCGGAACTACGGTATATGGAAAGGTCAAAGTCACTGGACAAAACTGCATAATGCTCTCTTATCGAATTTTGAGGCTTGGTCAGCAAATTACTCTGGATACAAAATACGAGTACTAGGGAGGCTCTTATTACTACTACAGTTCATTCATCGGAAACTGGCCCGCTGGCTTTTGAAAGTCGGATTTGGGCCGAATTGAGGATCAAAAACCCACTTTAAATCTCAAAAATCTGGGTTTTGGGATCTGCTTCTCCGTATATTTTGCCATGGCATACCTGTCCTAATTTTGTAAAACCTGGCTGAGTTTCTATTTCCCTGTTCTTGGACTTTTCTGGCCTCAAATTGAGACGGTTGTATTGTCCAGGATAACTCTGCCTTCATCGACAATCAGAAGCCCTCTAAATACCAGTACAGCAATACAGGTGCTAATGCATATAGTGTAAAGTATGATGATGATTGTGTGAAGTGTCACGTAGGAGGCATGTATAGCACACCGCTCACAAAATGTGGCAAGGAGTAATTGCACGGGTCACACAATGCAGGATGTACTGTTGTTTTCACGATATCTACAACTATGTGAGAGAGACACCAAAAAGTTAGGGTGCCAGTTTCCAATGAATGGACTGTAGTTCTCTGGCTCGAGTGAAATTTCGATTTTTTGGGATTCAATTGCTGCTTTCGGTGCATTACAGAGGTTTTGCAGAGCGAGCGCTCACGGGTAGTCATTTTTGCTGATCGCACGCGTGCTTTCTTGGAACGGAAATCATGCAAAACAAGACGTTTGCACGAACATTTTTCAACATATTCGCACGCAAGCCTAGACGCGCATACCCATGATAGGGTTCGCTCTGCAAAACGTCTCTCTTATTAATTTTATGAATATGGTCTTATATCGTCAGGATGAGATGTGGCCGTAGTAAAAAAATAAAAATAATAATAAAAGTTTTTTAAGCATGCACAAGGAAATTATGATATTGTTTGTTTGTTTGTTTGTTTATTTTATTTTATTTATTTATTCTTTAAGTGTTTGTTTATTTTATTTATTTATTTTTTTGATATTGTTTGATAATTGTTATGTACATTATGTCATTTCCCATAGCATGTTTCATTTCTGTCATACTACTGAGAGTGTATGGCATTCTCATTCCATGAAAGTGCTCGCTTCATTGAATTTTGTTGTATTTGAGTAGAGCTCCAATTGAGGTGTCAAGTTCTTCCTTTCATGCAATAATTGTTTTCAGTACAAGGAGATATGAGATCAGTGTTTGTGTGATATTGTGTCTTTGCGTCTATCTTCAGATTAATGGTGAGCAACGACCTGAGCACACTCAGGGAAGGTGTATTCGACAGCCTGATCGAACTCAGGGAGCTGTAAGGCGTGATTGAGAGCATTGTTAGTGTTGTCGCCGCCAATGCTACAGCCAGTAGAGCCATGGCTGCACCAAGTTTTCTTAAGAACAAAAATTCCAGGGCCCATGAAATGCCGAGCACTATCAAGTTAGAATTGACTCGGATGGAGAGACAAGGATAAATTTATAGAAAAGAAAAAAAAGGCCCAAGAAACCGTCGGTCAGTGTAGTGCAATGTTATCGCATGAACTGATTGTTCAGTCACTGGCGGTGTTAGTGGACATTATAGGCTAACTTGTAGTTTCTTGGTCCTTTTTTCTTTACAATAAACTATCAAGTTATCCTTGCTTTGGGTCCATTCCTCCTAAACTGTTCCTCTTGTCCAGTGAGAACTGCTGTGCTAGCTTGATATCTTTTGTTAGTGGAATATATAAAATTATGTACCTGGAACAGCTACGCGGATTGAGTAGCTGGAACAACTAGGTAGGATACGACACAGAGCTACAGATCCATCCTTCCTTGGCACTGCGATGGGGCATGGGGATACAATCGCCCCAGTGCAGGTGACCTGGGGGCCTTAACACCCGCATGAGCTGGCTCTGGGCCGGTGTTGGAGCAGCACACGCTTGAAGAACGTCACTCTTGACTGGTCTTGAATCCTGATGGGGGGGGGGGGGGGGCGCAAGCATCAAGAATACTACTCAGCACTTCCTCTGAATGCATACAGTTCCTGCCAAACAGTGCATGCCATGCTGTAGATGTGTGTGTGTGTGTGTGTGGGTGTGTGTGTGCCTTGCAAGCTGTTGAATAGTGTAATCCCAGCACAAGTAAGCTATGTCTAACATACGGTAGCTGTTCGCTATCATCGCTTCCGCGATGGGCATGTCTGAGGTCTGAGGTCTGAGGTGTGTGTGTGCGTGTGTGTGTGTGTGTGTGTGTGTGTGTGTGTGTGTGTGTGTGTGTGTGTGTGTGTGTGTGTGTGTGTGTGTGTGTATGTCCCATATGGTGCAGTGGTATGTGCAGCGATTTCCATTCGATAGGTTGCTGGTTCGATTCCCGACGATTATGGTCACACGCGTCTTTCTTTTCAGACTCTTCCTGACTTTTCTTTCATTCTCCTGGATGGTTACCAACAGCCAGTGCATGCCGGAGTATGTGGTGTGATGTGTGTGCGGGAAAAAATGAAAAAAGACCAAAAAAGTAGGGATTCACTGGCCAGAAAAAGCCACTTTATAGCTTTGGGGTGTGGACCAGGCTGAATAGTGGCGGTCAATTCTTCAGCCTTGCAAGTTGTGGAATGGTGCAATCCCAGCACAAACTGTTATGGCTTCTGCTGTAGCATCGCGATGGGCGTCAAATGGTCAAAATGGTGTGTGTGTGTGTGTGTGTGTTAGTGAGGGGAGGGGGTCATGCGCGAGCAGCTGTCAGCAGCTGGGTGAGAGCCACTCAGCGTGTGTGGAGTTGTGCGGATGAGCAAGGATATTCGCGTGTGTCCATGTGGGTGTGTTTGTGTCTATTTGTATGAATTCATGAGTGTGCATGAAGAGCAGGCCCAGAGACCAAACATGATGGAGTTTGTTAGACTGATACTGTACAGTTGTTTTCGTTCTGGTAAAAAATAAAATTAAAAAAGTAAATTATCGTGTCCGTACCCGAAGAGAACTCAGGACGGCCGCTAACACCCAGTAAACCCTAGCGGCATTCGTTCTGGTAGCGGAGATTAAAGCAGTTCTCGCCTCCATTCTGGGACCCATTTCAAGACTAACAACACGATCCCGTTGCTCAGGAGTTGATTTCACCAGCAATGCTAGAATTAACATTGGCCTGAGGTTTTACATGGTACTGTAGCGGACACGCTCCTATGTGTGTGTGTAGGCATGTACGGTCTGCGTCACTGTGGTGTGTATGTGTGTGTAGGCATGTACGGTCTGCGTCAGTGTGGTGTGTATGTGTGTGTGTAGGCATGTACGGTGTGCGTCAGTGTGGTGTGTATGTGTGTGTGTAGGCATGTACAGTCTGCGTCAGTGTGGTGTGTATGTGTGTGTGTAGGCATGTACGGTCTGCGTCAGTGTGGTGTGTATGTGTGTGTGTAGGCATGTACGGTGTGCGTCAGTGTGGTGTGTATGTGTGTGTGTAGGCATGTACAGTCTGCGTCAGTGTGGTGTGTATGTGTGTGTGTAGGCATGTACGGTCTGCGTCAGTGTGGTGTGTATGTGTGTGTGTAGGCATGTACGGTGTGCGTCAGTGTGGTGTGTATGTGTGTGTGTAGGCATGTACAGTCTGCGTCAGTGTGGTGTGTATGTGTGTGTGTAGGCATGTACGGTCTGCGTCAGTGTGGTGTGTATGTGTGTGTGTAGGCATGTACGGTGTGCGTCAGTGTGGTGTGTATGTGTGTGTGTAGGCATGTACAGTCTGCGTCAGTGTGGTGTGTATGTGTGTGTGTAGGCATGTACGGTCTGCGTCAGTGTTGTGTGTATGTGTGTGTGTAGGCATGTACGGTCTGCGTCAGTGTTGTGTGTATGTGTGTGTGTAGGCATGTACGGTCTGCGTCAGTGTGGTGTGTATGTGTGTGTGTGTGTGTGCGTGCATGCGTGCGTGTGCCTGTGCGTGCCTGTGCATGCGTGTGTTTTTGTGCGTACTTATTCCGTTTGTGCAGATCACTGAGGCACAATGTCATCACTTCCTTGCCAGGTCAACTGTTTCAGAATAATGTGAACTTGGAAAATGTGTACGTTGCACATCACACTGGTTTCAAACTGCCTTTTTTTGAACTCCCACCTTCCAACCCGGCAAATATTTAGATTTTGATAAAAACGATTCAAATCCTCTCAATTATTTTGTAATACTTGACTTTCCTATTTTAACACACTCTCCTGGGCATACATTGTAAGTAATCTGACAATTAATAAATATTTCATTTCTGACCTTAAATTGGTCACCTAAAAATGGACTCTATATGGCCCTTCTGGCGTTATTAGTACGGATTCTCTTCTCTCTACGCAAGGTGAGGATGAGTTGACAACGCTGAGTTGTGTGAGTGAAAATGTATGTGATCATGGCTCCAGGCCAAAAGACTGACTTTTAAAGTATTACACGTTTGCAGCGAAGGGATTACTTGTGTGTGTACACTGTAATGTTGTAGTGTTCATCAATGCAAACAATTATGTCTTTTGGTGCAAACTTTGAATACGCAGAGACTTGGGAAGGAACCAGTTCAAGACACTGCCGGAGACACTTTTCTACAACACGTTTAATCTTCGCTACTTGTGAGTTCAGTATCCATAATTTCTCTGGCACTTACATGCATACTAATGTTGAGATGACCTTGGCGATGATTTGCGATGATTTGCTTTTTACTTGTTGAAGGACGGCAGTAATTACTAGTTTTTTTGTTCATCTATCCTTAGTATGCTAGCAGAGTGATGTCACGTGCTAGTCATGTGACTAAATTTGTGCAGACAGGTGGCATGGCATCATCATCATCATCATCATAATCATCTGCGTTGCCGAAAAAATAATAATAGTAAAATAAAATTAAAATTAAAATAAACGGCATTATGCAGCTGTGTAAGCAGTAGATGCACAGTGTGACTGCCAGGCATCTCTGTGTGGCATGCGGACTGTGAAATCAGCATGGCTGACATCACGCTAGGGAGATGTGCAGTGGATAAGTGGCAGGAACACATGCTATACGGCTGCTACATGTACATGTACGTTTGCTAGGTAATCTGATAACATTCAAACAAGTTCACAGTCCCCTCGTGATGGAGCAAGACTGGGTTTCTTTTCTTTTTGCGCAAAACCAATTAGGTGGAGAGGAGGGAACTCTCCTAAAACAACAAGTAACTGCAAAGCACGAAAAAAGGCCAAAAACTAAACCAAGAACATGTGCATTAGCATGTCATTTAGAAAGACAGGACAAGTGAATAATTAGTCAGACTGGGTTTCTGCACCCGCAGGCATGCAGATAGCTCTTGAGACAAAGCACACTTGAAGAGAGCACTTCTATTGATCGCAAAATTGCTCTCGGCCATATCATAATTATTTATTTACACAGGATGTCTTTTTGACAAAGTCAACGGAAACTCTGCTTTGTACACATTGCATTTTTGGTTTTCTGTACGCTGCAGGAGTTTGTATGGAAACGGTGCTAATGATCTGCCAGCCCTGTTATTCAGGAATACACCAAACATAGAGAGTCTGTAAGTCTGAGAGAAGGTTTCAGCTGTTGGTTTTGGCTTCGCGATTCCAACGGGCAATGTGGCTAATGGCAAAAATGTAAAATTTAATGACTATACATCTACCGGTATTGGGTATTACTATAGTATGCTCCTCGACATTCGTCTTGTTCAGTGTTGCTGCAGTATGCATTGCCCAATACATTTCGTAGTTGGAGCACTGTGGCGCTAGAGCGACGAGCTATCCCAGTGTGTGTGGTGCCTCCTTTGCACCATGGCTGCTCGGTCGGCTATACTGATGAGGTCTTTATGGCCGAAATCATCATGGGCTTGCTGTCCACAGCATTGGGCAAATATACAATATACATGTAAACGTTCGAAGAAAGCAAAATAACGAGAATGAATGCTTGAATTGCACTTCGATACCCACGTAATCATAAACCAGCGATCACATCCTGAGGAGTATTTGAACAGGATTGAGGATTCAGAAAATAGTAGTGCTGATGCACTAGTTTCACACAATTATACACCACCACGGCACCACCCACAAACGGTCTCTCAGTTACAAATTCTTCCAAAAATAATTAATTAAATGAAGTCCAAATTTTCGGGCCAGGCCCATCTTCAGGAATTTGGACTTTATTCAATTTTAAATTATTTTTGGAAGAATTTGTAGCCGAGAGACCGTTTTTCGGTAGTGGTATATAACTGTGTGAAACGTGAAGTGGCTACAGTGGAGTCTGCACACCCTTAGGCTGATGCACTAGTACTGCCGATAATATGAAATTGTCTGTGCTTGAAGCCATATCCAGACTAAATCCGGACAGGAATTCTACCTTCTCCAGGATTGTCTTCAGATATTCTGACTTTTTACTCCTTCAAACGAATGAAAATATTCGAGGGCGCATGCACATGAACATGTGAGGGTGCATCCAGTGAGGCTGAAAGTGCTCGATATCGCCTATGCAGAGCTTACCAATAGAACTACACGATTGCTTGGTGGTCTGTGCTGGGGGCCATAGTCATACTTGCACATCAATTTACCGGTGATGTGATATTGTCTGTTCGTGAACGAGTTTAAAATTCTATAGTCTTATTCTTCCTTTTCAGAGATCTGAGTAGCAATGGTTTGGAATATATCCCTGTCGGTCTCTTTTGGAATCTACCGAACCTTCAGCGATTGTAAGTTCAATAATCGAAAATTAATGGACACAGTAACATATTATTATTATTACTTTATTGTACAGCCTTCCCACCAGGGCCCTTTTCTGTTCATCATAATTTATATCAAGGTGTTTGAGTGTTGGAATTCCTAGTTAAAAAGGCTACATGCATGAGGTGTGTAAGTTGGTGTCCCCAGTGATGCCGTGGCTCACAGAGCATCCCAAGTTGTACATTGTACTGTCGAGATACCGAATTCAAATAGATCAATACCACACCATCACATAATGCACTGCTCTCGGAGCACAAGTTTCATCAGCGTTTTCGAGCTCTGCTGATAGGGGTTGAATTCCCCCAAACACTGTGCACTGAGCAGGGAGTGAGTGGTGCTTTAAGTTTCTGCCCGGTTTTCCAAGTGCACAATCCACCATTCTTCCCCGTTGCTCTAGACGTGAGTTGTGCGTTGCTTAAGTGTGGCCCTCTGGTCAGTCAGTCGGCAAGAATTGGGAATCGCAACCTCCAACCAGTGGATCAGCCACCTTCGGTTACATATGTTTCATGCCAAATCCGTTCTTGCACTAACGAAAAGTGTAGCCTTGCTACTCGATCACTCTTTTGGTTCCCCTGGGTAAGAAATTTGGACCATGGATCATAGTCTCCCAAGTCCCAAGTCCCAACGCCTTCCTTTCGGAGTAGTAGTAGTAGTAGTAGTAGTAGTAGTAGTAGTAGTAGTAGTAGTAGTAGGGAAGGAGTGTTCCGTGTTTTTGAAGGCATTGGTTGGCCGTATTCTGGAGAAAAACGCTGATTTGGTGTATTCTGTTGTTGTCAATCATTTGCGATGCCGTTTGTCATTCTGCCTACTTCGCTGGTGTATCACCTGTTTACGTGGCTCTAGGTCCTCCTATCGCTCTAAGCGCTCGGCGAGCTTTGTGAATGACTGCCGTGTGCTCTCTAGGGCATAGTTTTTCTTTGTCATCATCTCGTATAATGTCAAAATGTGATCTAAAGTTTGTTTTCCGGTGTCCTGAAGTTTTTTCTTCTGTATGAATCTCGGTTTCATTTCTGGCGGTGTTCAAGCAGTTCTGGTTTGGATGTTTTTCTTTCCTTTTCCTTCCCCTTTTTCATGTATAAACATTGCTGTTGCCATTAATATTTGTTATCTTTCTATTTTGTTACAATTTTGCTGTTCGCTTTTTGAATTCATTGCCCTCCTTGCATTCACATCTTCATTGCTTTGTGCTTTCAATAAAAACACATTTCAGTAGTAGTAGTAGTAGTAGTAGTAGTAGTAGTAGTAGTAGTAGTAGTAGTAGCAGCAGCAGCAGCAGCAGCAGCAGCAGCAGCAGCAGCAGCAGCAGCAGCAGCAGCAGCAGCAGCAGCAGCAGCAGCAGTAGTAGTATTCTTTTATTTATAGTGGAGAAAACCAAAACAGGCAGATGCCTGATAACAATGGACCCACTGTGGAGGGAGGGGGGGGGGGAGACATGGCTAATCATTATGGTAAATAGTGGCGGCGAAATAGAGCAGTTCCAGCACAGCTACAGAAACATGGGCTGGACAGGAGACTGTGCTCTTGAACATTATCCTTTCATGTTGTCATATCACGGTTGCACGTTGATACTATTAGTGTATTGTAGTTACGAATTGTGTACAGAACTGTCACATGCTGCAAGGGCAGTATTGTCAAGACATGCTAGGTCGCTTGCAATATTGGTGCGTTGTGTATTACTGCTATGTATTTCGCGAGTGTAATATTTATTTGTTAGTCTGTTAGAATTACATCACGAGTGCATGTCTGTTACGTCTACGTCGAGACGCATTTTACGACACAGTAATTGCTATGCGTGTTCGTACCACGCCATGTTCACGAGCGGAATATCTTGTGAATTGTTCTAATGTATTATAAGTAGAATTGTTGACACACTAATTGGTTGCAATGTACATGTACTTACTAGTACTTGATCCGTTGCATTATCGCCATCCGCGGCAACTCCGCTACGATCTACTTGGCGAAACTTACTCTCGCTGACAGGGTGTGCTGTCACCCTGTCGCTGGGTGCAAGCACCCCTTGACAGACACTGTTTTCACCTCCGTAACCAACAATTCTTTATTCTTTCACTCCAGCACATTGCAAGTCATTATTAGTTTCTGCTTGTTCTGCATTTCAAATTATGGCTTTTCTTTTCGTTGATGCACTCGTACTCGTCCGCGCTGCACGCGGACTTTGGCAGTCGCCATATTTAGTATCTCTATGGCTACGATGATCATGCATTTTCTGTACGCTGCATTTTCTCTCTATGCCACGTCGTTGTGTGCATGCATGCAGCGCAAGCCAAATGCACGCACGCTGCACGTTTTGCCCAGGACAGCGATTTGGCGATCGTTGTTCGGTGTGTTCTTTGGTGTTCTTGTTGAAAACGAGTGGTAATGTCGATTAAAGGAGTTTCTGGGTTTTTGTGGTCTGCCTGACGATGGTTAGTTGCGGGACCAAGTCGCACCGCAACATGGGCGTAAAGCTAAAAGCAGGCAAGAATTTGTTGCAAAGCGCTTGACTTGAAGGCGGCCAGTTTGGTGACGCCTCGGATATCCGCATGGAGGGAATTCCAGAGAACTGCGCCAGCATGTGTCACCAATTTGGTAGAATGTGAAGAAGCAGCTGCAGGGACGATAAGCAGGTTACTGTTGCCTCCTCGAGTTCTTCGTGACGAAAGAGGTTGAAAAAAGGTTGCAAACAATCTACTTCCTGAAGAATTTAGACAACGCCATATAAAGCAGAGCAAGTTAAGTTGAATGGTAGCGCGCAAGGGAGAGACATGTACACGCTCAAGCAGCGTAACAGTGGGTGTCCATGGGGCAGTTTACATACAGCACGCAGTGCGCGCTTGAAGAGCCTTTCCAGACGGAGCTCCTGGTGAACAGATAGATATGGGGCATAAGCATTGGATGCATACAGAAACTCAGGCAGCACAAAGCATTTGAAGTAGCAGATACGACATGAGAGGGTAAAGATGCAGCATGGCGGACTAAGACAGCTATTTTAGCAGAAACCCTGATAGCAACACATTGAACCTTTCGTGACGAAAAAAGTTAAACAAATTTCAAACAATCTACTTCCTGAAGAATTTAGACAACGCCATATAAAGCAGAGCAAGTAACGCTCAAGCCGCGTAACAGTGGGGGTCCATGGGGGCACTTTACATACAGCACGCAGTGCGCGCTTGAAGAGCCTTTCCAGACGGAGCTCCTGGTGAACAAATAGATTGGTTTGGTAGCTGTGTTACATGTGATCTACATGTGTATAGTTAATTGGGAACCCGTGGCCTGGCACGAGGGAAGCACGGATGTAGTGTGGTGAATGGGATTTTCGGTATTGGGCCACTTTGGTGGGTCTGATCTCATCACCTCCCACCGCTAAAATGCGGCAAACTCGGCCTCTAGCCTAGTCTTACGCAAACTGTGATGTTTGGCAGTTACATGTACATGTACATGTACAATCATCATGATTGTATCTATCGACAGGTGGGACAAGCCATTTTCAATCATCATGGCTTGGGTGCGAGTTCGCAGCCAATTTGCAGTGATCCATGCAGTCGACCTCCGGCTACGCGGGTCTAGAAGGCGCCTGACAGGCCTGTCGACGCAGGATGGTGCTGGGGTAGGCATCGGCCATTGAAAACTGAATTCCGTCTGTTTTACGTGGAATTTCTTGGAGTTTCCCAATGTATTGTGCTTGAATAAAATTCCATTTTAACTTTCATGGTATCTCAATTTTTTCATGTCTACATGACTTTATTTTGCCCGTAAAAGAGGCCGTTACCCCGTAAAAAATCGACAGGTACAGTTGCGCTCCGTGAAATCCGATGCAGAGTCACATTTGCCCCCTCATTTTTTACGGGCCTTGACGCCCTGGAAGTGGCACGAATGCGGCTGTACATACAAAGATGTCGTGGGGATGAGTCTAGTGCGCCAGCTTTGCATTTCGGGTCGGATTTCAGCGAGCGGAACTGTAGTTCAAGTGCTTGAATGGCTGAGTAGTATGCGATTCAGACTACGGCCAAAATCACGTGTAAACTCCGTGAATTTCCATTTTGATGCATTCGTGTTTCCATGGTGATGCAGTCCTGTTTCAAAATTTTATGCACAATCCTTGATAAAATATGTCTGGTCACAGTTGGCCGTAGTCTGGATGGCTGAGTAAGGCATAATGCTAAGCTGGTTTGCACCTGCTGATGGACATGTTAACCTTCTCCTTTGCTTGATCGCGTGAACTGCACCTACTGTAAATCAACTAATTTTCGCTGGCGGGTTGATTTGGCTGATTTCGCCGCATGCCAAAGAAATTCGCGGGCCAAAGTTTTTCACAGAGGCAAATGCAAGTTTTAACCCTGATCGGCAAAGTTTGATCACGACCGAATGTTTCATTTCGAGATCCCGCAAAGTTTCTCACCGGCCAAAATTTGTTGATCTACACGGTTCTTCATTATGTGTCAATGTTCATGACCAACACAGCTCTACGTCGGGATCAAGTCCTCGTAAAAGCGATGTGTGCCCATTGGCACGCCTACTGACCAAGGCTCCTAACCTAAGAACAATCCCCCAAGACAATTCTTACCCAGTGTTCGGTTCCAACTTATTCGCCATCGCCAACTGTAAGATTTGCACATGCACGCTAACTCCTAAATTGTATCAACCTACCCGTATCTACATGTAGGTATCTGGGTGTGTATTTACACGTATCTGGACTTGCTGAAATCACATACATGTATTAATAGTCACCATTTCTGTCTGATCATGGGGTGGTGGCATCCGACGGAAGCTGAAAGGTGGTTCTTGACCAGGGAGTTGTACGACCCCTTGTTCTTGACCTGCCCGTTCCGCGAACCCGTCGAATTTTATTTATTTATTTATTTATTTCTGTCTGATGATCCTAGAGTGTTTTGAATGTACAGGTATGTGTGTGTGTGTGTGTGTGTGTGTGTATGTATATGTGCGTGTGTGTGTGTGTGCGTGTGTGTGTGTGTATGTGAGTGCGTGTGTATGTGCATAACTATTTCAAGCACGCCCACGTATCTTTCTTTATGTCCATTTTCCGTCAAGTGTATAATGAATGCAGCGGTGCTGAGCTGCGTTGTTTCGGTGATCGATTAGTTGGCGGCGGAGCATTTTGCTCGTGCCCAGAAGGGCAAGTGTACAATGGAACATTCTGCACGCCCAGGGCCTCATTAATGCAATCACCAGATACCCAGTTTGTGGAGTCTCCCAGCTGTGTCCAAACAGCGGATGAGCTAACCTGCAAATGCCACACAACCATCCCTGGATTACTTGGACCTGTCGCCCGCAACTGCAATAGCACGGCTTATCCATGTCCAGGCGCACTTGTCCTGTTCCAGACCGCCATGGACTACCGATGTGCATGCGAACCTGGCTATGAAGGTACTGCACGTGTATGACTATTTTCGTATTGACAATAGAACTTAAAAGGGTTGGGTTTTCATGTCACGTTAATCTGTTGATTCTCGCGACTGAGAGTTAGCAGGGTTCCGGTGGTGAATGTGACATGAAAATCAAGCCCAGAAGACTTTGATGACATTGGCAGCGCGTGGTTATATTGCAGTGTAGGCTCGCACCTACATGTACATTGTATATTATGTAGCTGGATGGCTACTATTATATGTATGTATGTATGTATGTATGTAAATAGCGATGAGCTACTTTCAGCACCACAAGCATAGGGATACATCAGTAGTATGGATACGGGATCCAAGCCACATTCTATAGCATGGCTCCTAAGGAAAGACAATTTTTTGATAACATTCAGGCTATGAATCGGTGCAGTCATTACTCGGAAAAACCGAGAAGTATTCAATACATTTTGTTGGTAGTAGCCATATCCAGGATCGCACCACCATGCAGAAAATTTATGTTGGGGCTCGCTCTGCCTGTTGCCCACAGAAATATTTTTTTCACTTTTCCTGATACATCTGTATGTTTCTGTGTGTGATTCCCTGTCAGTCCAAGGCCAGAACTGCACGAATATTGATGAGTGTAGCAGGTCAGGTTCCTGCCAGCAACATGAGCTTTGCAACGACACAATCGGATCATATCAATGCTATCCAAACCCGACACTAGGTCAGAAGCGGTTGTTAAGGGTAACAACGGTGTATCGCTCTCTTGTTGTCGACCACAACAGAATTTTGTGATCACTTAGTCAAATCACGATACAGGGCCATTTTCAATGAAGA